TGGAGCTGGGCGGCCTGGCCCACCAGGGCCTGGAACGGGGGGGGGGGGTAGAGGAGAAACGACGAGCCCCATGAGTCTGGCAAAGCCAATGCCGCTGGGGGCAGGGAGAGCCGCGGCAAGAGAAGGGATGAGGCTGGGCATCCTGGGCCACTGAGGCCTTGAAGGGGGGGAGAGGGATGAGGCTGGACAGCCTTGCCCGCAGGGGCCTTGAGCAGGGGGCGGGGAAGAATGAGGCCTAGCGCCCTGGCCCCCCACTGCCTCGAATGGGGGGAGAATGAATGAGCCCTACCGACCTGGCCCACCAGGACCTCGAACGGGGGGGGGAGTGACGAGGCCTGGTGCCCTGGCTCACCGGGGTCTTGGATAGGGGATGGGGGAAGAGACAAGGGGAGCCGCAGCCGGACGGCCTGGCTAGAAACCGTTGTATTTATTATCACAATTTATTATCCCTCATCTGGAATAAAGCTGATAGGGCAGTAAATGGGATCAGTACGATTGTTTGGTTGACTTGGCACAGATACCCAGAATCAAAGACAGTCTTAATGGTAAACTTAACCTTATAGCAATTTAGGCCTTCTTACAGATATATGGCCATTTTTGGAGATTGGGAGATTCCTTTATCTGACAACTGATGGTAGTTTGAATGCTCAGTTACCCATTCATGATGGGTGGCAGTGCAACTCCCAGCCAGACCAACACTTGGAGAATGTGTGCTAGTTTGGGCTTTTTCTGCAACCCACAAGACCAGCTCTTGTGACAGCTACATCACAGCACAAGACAGGCTGTGGAATCTTTCCTCCCTCAAGCCATAGGAAGCATTAACAGCAAAGAGAGTCTTTGGATTATAAACACTTATTTTGGTTAAGTTAGCTGCTGGCTATAGTACAGCGCAAGGTTCTCCAGCCTTTTCGAGCCTGTGGGCACCAATGACCCTTCTAAGTTGTGGAATCTTGTGAGGAAAAATTCCACTTTGTGAGCTACTGGCATTACAGTTGTAAGCAAGCGATTTGGCTACTGCATAAATTAGTTTGCTCTGGAGCCATCCTTCCTGAGCGAAGACAAAAATCTGTGAGCCGGAGGTTAAAAAAACTGTGAGCTAGCTCACACTAACTCAGCTTAGAGGGAACACTGATGGGCACTGTTGGAATTCTAACACAGTGTGGTGTCTACAGCAGGAAGTGAAGACAGCCACAAAATGGCTGCCACAGCTTACCTTCAGACACAAAGTAAAGATCTTTGTGCTGTGGTGGCGACTGCTGCCAAAGCAACCTTTAAAAAAACCTGGATGACCAATCAAATCTTCAATAGCCAATCTGAAGCTCGGTTGGCTAAAAGCCCCACCTGGCACCTCCCACTTTCTAACAACATTGGGTGGATGTAAAAGAAGAAGAGATTGGATTAATACCGCACCCTTCCTCTTCCCTCAACAGACACCCTGTGAGGCAGGTAGGGCTGAAAGAGTTCTGAGAGAACTGCTCTTGAGAGAACAGCTCTGAGAGAACTTATGACTGACCGAAGGTCACCTGGCTGGCTGCATGTGGAGGAGTGGGGAATTGGACCCTGTTCTCCCAGATGACAGTCTCCCACTCTTTACCACTACACCAAACTGGAGTCAGTGGACAGCATGGCATCCATGGACACCACATTGGGGAGCCCTGGTACAGTGTCAATCTAGCAAAACATTGGCTGTGGTCACACGGAGTATTAGCCATGCTACAGAGATGGAAGATAGGCGGATTTTCCGGGCGCGATCACACCGCAACATCTGGGAAGCGTAGAGCTCCCATGGTGAACCCGAGGCTTCCCGCCGAAGATGCGGTGTAAAAAACTAGTACCTCTGAGGTACTCGTTTCCGGAAACCGTGGGGCAAGGGCGGGCGTCTGATCGCGTTTCCGGTGGTAGTTCGTGGCATCCGGCGCCTGCCCATGTCCCGTCGCAAAAAGGTTCCCCCCCCCAAGTCTCCACGGGATGCACACATGCACCCAATTGCGCATGCGCAAACTTCGGTTTAAAAACCCCCACAACCCTGTTTGCCACAGCAGCAGCACCTAGCCATTGCTGCTGTGATCGCGCCGCACCGCTTCTTTGCCGTGCCACAGGATTGTCGTGTGATCGGCACCTCTCCCCGAACCACGGGAGGTCGGCGGGACATGTGATCCGGCGGCCGCGCGTTAGTTTGCTCTGGGGCAAACAGCCATGCTCCCCCCTGAATTTTCTGGCCCGTGTGACCGGGACCATAGTTGGTCTTTTGTTGGCACACTTACATATCTAATTTTGATCACATTATCTACTTGCAGGTTTTGGTCCTTTAAAAAAAAACACCCCAATGCAGTATCCAGTGGTTATATAGAAAAAACATCTGTGTGATTTATAATCTCTGCCATGAAGGGCAGATTTAGTCCTGGGTAACAACTGATTACTACCACCATACAAAAACACATAGCATCTCCCCCCCCTGTTTTCTGTTTTATCAGGTGAAAACTTTCTGTTTGCATAAAGACAAACCTTCCCACTCTTTTCCTGACCCTAATGTTCTTTTACTTGCTAATGGGTTTTGCCATTATGTAATTTATCACGAGGGAGAAGAAATCATAGTGATATCTCCTGCTTTCCACTCTGCCTCCACTAATGCCTTCAGGAACCTTGTTTGTATTTAACACACTCTCTCGGTCTCATTATCAAATTATCTAGTTCCCTTTTCTTCCCCTCCAGCAGTCACTGATTGTTCTCACTGTTAAACACAGAAGCAGTAATAATAAGAAATCTTTGCCTGAGCTGATCTGTGGCTGCACCGTAACGGGGGACTGCAACAACAGTTGCTTAATAACAAGCAACACTCATCACTGTTTCATCCCTGAGCACCATACATGGAAAGGGTCAAAGTGGTGGCAAACATTGAAAGGGGAAAATTGCCTGAGGAAGCTGCTGGGTGTTAAAAGCATATTGTGTGGTAAATAGGAAGCTTCTGACAGTTCATGTGATCTTCATGGGCTGGGAGACCCAGGTTCAAAGTCCACTTGAGCCACAAACTAGGTAGTTACTGGGCAAGCCTTAACTTTTCACTGAGGTCTCAGAAGAGAACTGATGTTAGCATACTGGTAGGCAGAGGGAGCTGGACAAATCCTGCTTCAAATCTTACTTCATTCATCTAGTCATTGGATGGCTTTGGGTGCCCCATCTGTAATATCTGGGCAATAAAATTACACTGTCCTACCTTACAGGGCTGTTGGAATGGCTACTGGGGCAATGCATGTGAAATAGTCTAAGCACTATCAGAATGCTAACTATGAAGAGAAGCAGAAATGATATATTAATATAATTAATATGCAGTCAGAAACCAGCTACATGGTGGGCAACGCAAGCAATGCATTGACAGGGAAATACCTAGACTGTGTATTTCTGGAGACCTTTTCAAGTGGTGAACAGAGATCTGTGCTACTGTAACATTGTATCATTTTCCCACCTAGAAGCTTCAAGTGGTGAACATTGTATCATTTTCCCACCTAGAAGCAAATGCCAGGAACATGAACATCCTAACATAATCCTGAGCCTTTCAAAAGCGGAAAGTTTTTCACCCTGACAGACAGAAGAGCATTGGCACAAGGCAATGTTTTGCTTGTCTTCCCACCAGAACCTACAGCACCCTTACAATCCTGTGCCACATGGAGGAAGCAGAAGCTGTGCTACTTACATTGACTATAGCTTCTTTCGTCTGGGCCATGTCTGATATCACACCATCCGTGATGATGAGCAAAACAAAATATTGGGAACCGTCTTGCACAGCAGCTGCGTACCTGAGGGGAGGGGAGATCTCATGAATATTGGGGCAGAGGCAAGGCAGTCTGAATGTTCTACTAAACTGATCTCTTTCTGTAAGCCCAAAGACTGCCATTACCTAAACACAGAGGGGCCTTCCCCTACTCTTGTGCTCTTCTGAATGTAGGGGTGGGGGCAGAGAAAAACTTTGGGAACCTCAGGTAGCTCTCGGCCACTTTGCTGCTCCCTGGATCCTTGAACCATACACACTCTAGATCCCTCCCTTCTCCTGCACTTGTCACCTATTCGGACTCTCGTAAGACGAGTTCAATATGTGTAAACACATTGAAAAAGTCAGCTCATGTCTTCACCTTAAAAAAAATACACTATTCATTGTGAACTGAGCTTAGATCTTCCTAGTTTCATAAAGCCAAGGACCAGCTTTAAACGCTGCTTTCATTCTGTGTGATGTTGTCCGTTATCATACCTTCAGGCATCCAGTCGCCACACAGTTACCTGCAGTGAGTTTGAAAGAAGCCACTGCAATGCAAGTGGTCATCTAAATCTGCCTGCAACAATGGAATTAGGCTCCCCGCTGCCCACACCTCAATGCAAACTGCAGAAAATCTCTGCTATGCATTGTGAGGATCATCTTGGACTGGAGGGGCATACCTAGCTACGTGGTTAACCACCGGTGCAAAATTAGTTGGGCCATAGAGCTGGACAGTCTTGAGGCTGTCGTGATAGGCTTCAAGGATTCCCTCTATTCCACTGCATTGAGGATTGTCAGAGTTGCCGTTCTGCAGCAGAGAAAGAGAGTGTTAGGGTGAAAGTTCCCAGTCAGAGGCTGCTTCCTTGCCCTCTTTAGATTCTCCCTCTTATTTCAACATCTGCTTCAGTTGATAACTATGCATTAGCATAGATTAGCATTCTAGCCAGAGGCAGTTACCGAAAGACTTGAGAACGAAGGACTCTCCCTGGCAGGAAGCACAGATATGCCTGATACTATAGGAACAGCCTTCCCTGGAGATTTAGAGGCATGGCAATCTCAAACCAGGGACAATGTTGCAAATGTGGAAACTCTAAGTCATAGAGAATGAAAGCACTTCAAACCCAGTTTTTGTTCTAATCTAGCCTCAGGAACCCCAGCTATATCCAGTGAGAATCAAACCATGACCCAGGAAAGCAAAGCCCACACTTCACAGAAGTGTGTGGTGATGGCCATGAGTTTATGTGGTATTTAAAAACAGATTATTCGAATGCACGGAGGGCAGGTCTATCAATGGCTGTTAGCCATTAACATGAAATGAAATCTCTGTGACGAGAGACTTGGCTCCTCTGTATGCATTTGCTGGGAAGGAACAGCAGAAGGGGGCCTTCATCTCATATCCATGGGCTTCATGGGAGCATCTGACTGGCCACGGCGGAAAAACAAATGCAGGCCTAGATGGACCTTTGGTCTGATTGCAACCAGGTTGTGCTCATATCCTTATTTTCTCAAAGTTTTTGCTTTCAGCAGAACAAAGACTTCTGCATCATCAGAGAATGTGGGCAAGTTAGGCTGTCTGGCTCTATTGAATCTGAAATAACGTAAAATTCCGCTGCTGTTTCTGAATGCTGAAATGATTCAAAGGGAGGTGTCAATACCAAGGGGAACTCATGAGACACATGGCCATCAGGTGGTATTTTGGCTCCAAACCCAAGTGCTGGGAACATTTTGTCACTGTCATAGTCCTGGATGATCTCTCCGACAGCCTTCAGTGCCATAGCGTATGCATTGAGCTGGTAAGGATTCATGTAGTGAAGGGAAGTAGACTGAGAGGGATTGCCTGCCAAGGAACAAAAGAGAAAAAGGGAGCCAGAACAGTCACTGGGCCATCACCATACATCTACTCGGCAGCAAAATTCAGAGGAAACTCTATGCAATCTGCAAGTGGTGTATAGTAAGAAAACGCCTGATGTTACATGTTTTGAGCTGGTCCATGCAAGTTGTGCCAGTATGTGTTCTCTTAAAAGACACATACAGTTCTCTAAAGCATTAATTCTCCTCCTGAGTTTGGTTAAAAAGTCTGGCCACTCAACAGGCAATACAAATTGGGGGGGGGGGAGAGAAAGCTGCCTGTGAGGAATCGCAAGGAGGAGCAACCATTGGGAAAGTGTCCTTGCCCAGTCAGCAACAGCATGAGACTGCAGAGGTCTGGAGCTACATGAACACTTTCCCACTCCACTAGGCCCAAACCTCGAGCTGTAATGCAACTACTCTGAAACCCTGTTTACTATGATTTGAGGGTAGGTGAGCAGGAAGTTGACCATCTTTCCCCAGACATGGAGGAGGGGACACCTTTACCTCACCGTATCTGTGCTATAAGGTAAACACACCTGATCCTATTTTCACTCCCCTATAATCAAATCTGTGCATTCTATGCAAGTGATCAATGAATTTAAATACTTGAGGATTATATTCCAGTTGAATTTATCATGGTCTAAGTACATAAGACCGTAAGAGAAGCCAATGTTGGATCAGGCCAATGGCCCATCCAGTCCAACACTGTCACACAGTGGCCAAAAATATCAGGTGCCATCAGGAGGTCCAGCAGTTGCCACCTGCTTAACTAGCATTAAATCTGGGTCCAAGAGCACCCACAGAACATAGGTCTGTTCGTTCCAGGAGAGTGCAACCCCATCCAGAATGGGTGACACTTTAAATCTTGGCTCAGACCCTCCTGTCACTGGTAGCACTTCTGTCTTCTCAGGATTTAAGATGCTGAGGATGCTGTACTCTTCACAGTTTAAAGACTAAGAAGGGGTCCAATTAATTAAGATTAGAAGTTCTTCCCTTCCACCTGGTTTCTTTTATACAGGACAAGTTTTCCATCCTACATTGATGGTGAGGAATTACAGCTGGGTGGGGGGAGGAATACCTCAGAACCTTCCCTGCATCCTCATTTACACACCTGCACTTTCAGAATATGTGCTAAAGGCTCAGGCTGGTTAATTTCTCTCCTGACCTCAATATTATATGCCTCCTGGAAAACAATGAGCCTGCTCAGCCCTTCTCAGACCATTTATCACCCCTTCTTTATTTAAATGTGTACATTAATATTGTTCTGCATACCTTGAGAGTTCCCCAACTATGCAGAAGGCCCAATCTTGTATCTCTGCAGAGGTGGGATGAATTACTGGGAATCTTGTAATTTTCTGCCCCACCCCTACCCCAGTGCTCCCTCTAAGTGTGAATTAGTGTGAGCTTGCTCACAGTTTTTTAGCCTCCAGCTCACACATTTTTGTCTTAGCTCAGGAAGGATGGCTCCACAGCAAACTAATGTATACAGTAGCCAAATTGCTTGCTCACAATTTTAATGCCAGTAGCTCACAAAGTAGAATTTTTGCTCACAAGACTCAACAGCTTAGAGGGAGCATTGCCCCACCCCTAGGCAAAAGTGGAGACTTGCTGGGTTTTGCTCCATGAATCCCAGATGAACGGCCTCAGGCTTTTGATCCCATTCAAATCAGTCAGCAGTTCAGCCAGAATCATACACAAGGGCACTTTCTTCTTCTTTTTTTTACTGTAATGCCATTTCCCAATTTGTTGAGGAACAAACTAGCCAGATCTTGCCTATCTTACAAAATGTAGCGACTGCAATAAATACATGTCAGTTGATACTTCTAAATATACTAGTCACAAATTATATTGCTTAAACACTGGAAAATTGTCTGAGCATGCAAAAATGTAACACTGTTCACCAAAACATATGTTATTAAAACTCACCATTGGAAGCTGTGAAGTCAATGGCCACTGTGAAATTGATCTGGGTCCTAGAGGGGGGGGGGGGAGATCACATCACCTTAATGATTCAGGTTTGCAAACCTAAAAACATTTTGATTAATAGATTCCTCAAGAAAAATGGCAAACTCAGACTAATGTCTTGGACTTCACTTTCCCCATACCTGCTTCTGCCTCTCTTTCCAACCCTATTGCAAGAAACGCGGGCTTTGAACTCACCAGGCCCTTAGCTGGAAATGATGGTTTAGGTGGACCTTCTCAAGAGAGAAGGGAAAGGGGTGGCTGCGGGTGTTGGGGCTTCTTTCCTTCTCTCTCTCTTTCTCTTTATTTCACTTTTTTGTCTTTCCTTCTCTCTTTTTCTTTCTTTTTCTCTTTCCCTCCTTATTTCCCTTCTTCTCTATTTCTTTCCCTCCTTTCCTTCTCTCCTTCTTTCCCGCCTTCTTTCCTTCTCTTTCTTTCTTTCTTTTTCTTTCCTTCCCTCTTCTCTTTCTCTCTCTTTCCCCCTCCTTTCTCCCTTCTCTCTTTCTTTTCCTCCTTCTTTCCTTCTCTTTCTTTCCCTCCTTATTTCCTTCTCTATTTCTTTCTTTCCCTCTTCCCTGCCTTAGTTCCTTCTCTCCTTTTCTCCTTCTTTCTTTCCCTCTTTCCTTGCTTTTTTCCTTCTTACTTTCTTTCCCTCCTTTTTTCCTTCTCTCCTTTCTTTCCCTCCTTCTTTCCTTCTCTCTTTTTTCTTTCCCTCTTCCCCACCTTATTTCCTTCTCTCCTTTCTTTCTCTCTTTCCTTGCTTTTTTCTTCTCTCTTTCATTCTTTTCCTCCTTCTTTCCTTCTTCTCTTTTCTTTCCTTTTTTCTGTGCAGATCTGCCCCCCCTAGCAATTTAGAAGAGTCCAGTGGCACCTTTAAGATCAAGGTTTATTCAGGTACAAGCTCTCCCTCCTCTGTGAGGGCAGATCTGCACTGTCAGGGGTTTGGCCTAATACACTAATGAGTTTCTGCTGTTGGGTGTGGGGTGGCCTAATATGCTAATGAGTGCCTGCTGTTGGGTGTGGCCTATTATGCTAATGAGTTCCTGCTGGGCCTTTTCTACAAAAAGAGCCCTGCTTTCCAGTATGGGCTCATCTCCAGTCTTAGGGGAGAGAGAGGGAGGTTTGCAAGGGAACAGCAAGTGAAGGAATAATTTAGCACTGCTTTCTTGTATATTGCTTCTCTACTGGAAATCGCTTCACCACCACTATGGTGGTACTGCTTGGTGGTTCAAAGATCAGCCACATCACATGAAGCTCTGCTCTCCGGCAGCAAAAAGCATAAGGCCATTCAAGTTGCACAGTGCTCTCCATGTTTCCAGTGCATTGACAGATGCCAAGCTGAAATGACTGGGGAGCCTATATTGTTCCACAGCATGCTGCATGGAAGAATGGCATACTTCTTGGTTGGTTATCTTTTTTATTATGTTTAGAAAATTAATTTATGAATGCCATGTGTTTCATGCCCTCCCCCCATTCCCACTGAAGGATTGCCAAAATTACTATCATTCAACATTTTCAGTGTTATTCTGAAAAAATAAATCAGGCCAGCTTTGATCAAATCCTGATTTTTCTTTAGCTTGCCTGAGAACAAGTCCCAAGGGTTTATGATAACCAAAATGAAGCAAACACAAAGTTGCTTTAGGGCATCTGGGCTCTCTGTGAATTGCCCAAGGTTAACAGGAACTGAAAAATAATCAAAGCCCATGCTTTAATATCCCTATTGAAGCTCGTGGATCACACACATAACTAAGTTACAGATCAACCATACATTTGTTGCAGGATGTTAGTTGGCTGAAAGACGCCCTTGTAACATTCATTTACTCTAGAGATTCTCAGTCTCACTCAAGCCACATGCAACATGGTATAGTAACTTCATCTTCCTCAGCTACACCTCTCAGTGTTAACATAAATCCCATATTTCTGTAGATTTGACTTTTAAGGGATCTGCACCCCAATTTACACATGAAAAGGGTTCAGTAAGGATTACTGTAAGGATTCTAAGTAAGTGTGCACAGGATTATAGATTTCGGATGCTGGAATTTATTAGCATATTTGCTGAAGAATTAAACAAAGAATAAATAAATAATCGTGCTGAATAGAAGCACACTTCAGGCTACCATGTCAATGACAGGTTATCCTTTCTTTATCTAAGCATTAAGTAAGCCAATGTCCAATTTCTGGAGCCCACCCCACTGGATAAGAAACAGTAGTTTAGTGCTGAAAGAAGGGATGGCTGAAAAGCTGCTCACAGACGTATCCCTTGGCAGCCTTCTAGGAGGAGATCCCTGGCCTGTCATCTCCTCCCCTCAATCAACATCAATTGCTCCCATGACAGATGCTTCTTTCAAATGCCATGCAAGGCTCCTAATGAAAGAACATGGCTGTCAGTGAAAGATAACATTTTAACTGTTGGCTAGATAGGAAGAGACAAGGCCAGAGGGAAAGGGCTTTTTTTTTTTTGGTTGTGCTGCGGTTCTGAGACATACCAGCAGAACAGAATTAGGACAGGCTGGGGAAGTGCCCCAAAATCTAGAGGAGGACTCAGAGTATGGGACTGACTTGTGGCTATCCCAAATTGGCCAATTACAGGGCTAGTTATGTGATACTTCAGTCGGCAGCTTTTGAACATCTAATTTATCAGACTTTGAGGCAAAGCAGACAGAAGGAAAGGAATGTTAGGAATGCTGCAAGACCCTTTGCTCAGCCCAAAACAAAAGGCTGCGGTAGGATTGCAGGGATAAAGTTAAGGGCTGCTGAAGCTGGCTGGCCATACTGGTTTCAGGGGGCTATAGGTGCATGGGGTCACGAAGATGAAGGATGAAGAGAGCACTAGTTGTGGGGTTTGAGGTACAGAAGCAGTCACCAGGCTTCCCAAGTGATTCGGTGGGGGACACAGATGTCTTTGCTACTGATAGGGTTACCAAGTACTTACCGTGATTCGGTGGGGGCCGGAACATTCCTCCCTGTAACACATCCACGCCACACCATGCCGATGGTACCATCGAGTTTCCAGCCGCATGGACAGAGCGTCGTCCAGTGTCACTTCCTGGCGACGGCATGTTGTGTTACAGGGAGGAATGGTCCGGCCGGGGAGCATGTTTCCCCCGCACGATCGCGGGAACCCTGGCAGTCACTATTCTCATAAACAAGTTAACAGAGAGTGGGAGGGAGGAACCATAATGTCTGATGGATCCTGCAGGTAGGTTGAAGATGTTGCTACTATTGGCAGTGGCATCCCACAGAGGTGAGGAGAGTCACTTGATGAGCACAGTACAGCCAAGTGTAATGGTTAAAGCCACAGTGGTCAGTTCCAAGATGGAAAGGGATGGAAGGGAACTCATATTTACTCAGGCTTCATATTTTCTCTCAGCAATCCTGGGAACATGGATTGTAAGAACAGCCAGTAGCTATTTAAGATTACAAGTCCAATGCTTGTTAATTCAACAGTCCTACTCAAGCAGAGTGCATGCTTGACAATTCCTTGTTAGTTTGGACAAGATGGACAAAAACATCCCCACTACCATACTCTATGGGTTTACAGGAGGGTTGCCTTGCCACCTTTTTACTTGCCTTGCAGACCAGAAAAAAGGTATCAGCCCTATCTATATTCTAATAGCTAAATCTAAGGAGACTTAAATCAATATTCTAATAGCCAAGTTGGCCAAATCTGAGGATACTAAAATCCAGAGACTGGACCCGTGAATGACCAAGAGAGACCTTTCAAGAAACCTGAAAAGTGCCCCAGGTTTGTAGAAAAATCTGAAATAGTAAAAACAAAAAAAAACCCCAGACTTAATAAAACCCAAAAATGATAAAAGGAGTGCCCGAAGCTTTAAAAATGGCTGCCCTCAGTGGTTGTTGCTAGGCAACCATATCAGGCTTGGTTTCTGTCGGTAAAAGGCAACAGACCCTTTTCAGTGCTGTTTTGGCCTTTGAGGGAGAAGGACTTATTAGGGCCTGGCAACTTAATACCATATGACTTGCAGGAATTACCTAGGTCTGGCTGCTTACTAATGTTCAACAACAGCCACCCCACAAAAGCCAGTGTAGTGGTTAAAATTTCAAACTAGGACCTCAAATCCCCATCCTGCCCTGGAAACTCACTGGGTGACCTTGGGTCAGTTACACATTCTCAGCCTAATTTACATCACAGGCAGGACCAAGATTGACCATTAAAAGCACCTGGACTACTCCTAGTGGGCTGATGACCTTCCATCCACACCTGGGCGGGCCAGCGTCTGACAGAAGGGCTGAGCCTGACCCAACCAAACCCCATGCAAGGCTGGAGAGGTGATGCCCAGCCAGCCAGAACGAATTCAGGGGGGGTCAAAGCCCAGCCCATCAGAGCCCTGTCAAGAGGCAAGACAGGGGAGGTGGTACTGCTAGTCATGGAATATTGGGTGGGTTTTTTTTAAGGAACTGCTTATGAGGCTGCTTATTCCATCTGAGGGTGTGGGCTGATTATTTTCTTAGTGAGGTGCTGAAGTCATGTAGCTGCTTCAGACCAGTAGTCTATCAAGGCTGGTATTGTTTGTTCTGACAGTACAGTACTCTGGAAGCATCTCTCCAGAGTCCCACATAGAGATCTTTCGTATCACCTATTACTTGACTGGAAATGCCAGAGATAGAACCCAGGATCTTTTGCATTCAAAGAAGATGCTTTACCACTGAGCTGTGGCCTCTCCCCAGTAATTCTGAATTACTGGCTGCTGTAACAAATAGCAATTTGCTATGATTCTATTCCAATATTATTTTCTGCAGGTTTATTGTGGGTTTTGTTTGTTTTTAGTGTTCTAAATTACTATAACCAGCCTTGAGATTCCATTTTTGAATGGAAAGGTCGGCTATACATGTATTAATAAACATTTTCCCCAGCAATCATGTGAATTTGTTTCAGACAGGAAAAGGTATGGAATAGTCCCCCCTATAAGACTGTATCAGACAAGATTCACATGCCTTCAGGGCTCTTTTTCGTGTATAAGTGAGAAGGTGAATTCCACTCCTCTCAAGTATCAAGATGTGTGGGCTAGTTCATGTTACCCAAGCAGCATAGGGGAGGCTTCTATGTGAGCCAGTTTGGTGTAGTGGTTAAGTGCGTGGACTCTAATCTGGGAGAACCAGGTTTGATTCCCCACTCCTCCACTTGCACCTGCTGGATGACCTTGGACAAGCCGTAGTACTGATAAGAGTTGTTCTTGAAAAAGAGCAGTTTCTGTCAGAGCTCTCTCAGCCCCACCCACCTCACAGGGTGTCTGTTGTGGGGAGGGGAAGGGAAAGGAGTTTATAAGCTGCTCTGAGACTCCTTTGGGTAGTGAAGGGTGGGGTATAAATCCAATCTCTTCTCTCCTCTTCTTCTCTTCTTCTTCATGGCTTCATCTTGCACGACTCTAGTAACATTTAGAGGCTGAAGTCACATAGAATGTATGCTCAGCATCCCAGCAAATGCAGCATGCATGGAAAAGGGGTGAACAATGTATAGTTAGTAGCAGTACCCTATCATTGGTCTGTTATGTGTGATTCCATTGGCCTATTATGTGTGATTCAAACATGACTGAAGTGACACAGGACCAAACTATAGGGAAATGGCCCCTACACCTCTCAGTTAACACTTAAAGCTATGATATGAACATCATCATACTCTGGTTAAAATGCTACTGGAAAGAAAGTTGGGGCTGCATACCATTTCTAAAATGTGTTGCCAATAGTAACACAGCTAGACATGGATGCCAAAGGCCTAAAGCTGCTCTTGTACAAGTACTGAATAAAAACAGCTTGACTGTGCTGAACAAATGCCCATATCTACTCCCCAAAAGGTGCCACCAGTGCTGAACTGTGCAGAATGAATGGTTCTGGTTGCTTTGTCATGCCTACTGGTTGAAACTTGTTCTGGCTTGCCTCTAATCCTTGTCCTCAATGAACAGACACCATACCATCCTGACAGGCTCAGCGGCGTTCAAGGACAGAGGACAGGTTCTCAGTGCAAGGGGTTTTAGTTATTTAGTTATTTAGTTTAGTTATTAGTTATTAGCTTTATTAGTGGACCATTTTATAACTATAGTGAAGAACCACAATCTCAGATGGTGTAAATATGCACACCTCAGTCAGTTGATAGGAATTCCAGCCTCCAGGTGGAGCCTGGGGATCCCCTGGAATTACAGTTCATCTCCAGACTACAGAAAAGTAAGTTCTCCTGGCGAAAATGGATGCTTTGGAGGGTGGACTCTGTGGCATCTGAGCTCCCTGTCCTCCCCAGGCGCCATCCCCAAACCTCTAGGAGTTTCCCAAACTGGATCTGACAACCCTACCCGCATCCCCCCACCCCCAGTGGGCAGGGGAGACCTGGCAACCCTAGTTCGTTAAACTACAATGGGGTGCAATTTAAACATTTCACAGCCTTCCAGGCTTTGCTTTAGGGCTTTACTCAAAACATCAGAATTGTCAGTTCTCTGGTTTCTGTATAGAGTTTTTGGAGCCCCCCCCCACACACATATAATTCTAATGCCTCATCTCTAGTCACTAAGATGCCAGAGAATTAGAGCATTATTTTGCCGAGAAAAATATGCCCGTCTTCCGGCTCACTGACTGTAAAATTCATCCACATGTGGGCTTTATACCTTTATTGAAATGGAACTAAATGTTTTACACAGCTGTTACATAAGAAGGTAAAATATAACTTTGCAGAGATGTACTGGATAGAGGAGCTCCATATGCATGCTCTGGATTTTTAATTATATGAAATTCAGGTATAACTAGACATTTAAGGAACAACTGACTATAATGCTGGTGAAAAAAATCTGAAAATTGTCTGGAGTGTCCTGAGCTGTATATTTGATAGGTCTGGAAATCCAACTGTTCATAACGCCTGAACAGATAACTTGTTCATATCAGTGGTCTGCTGTGCCTTCCTTAGCTGACTCTAGCATAAATTCCCGGTCACCCTGCTAGAAGATGAGGATCAAAATAGTTAAGATGCTGGGAAATCTATGACTGGATATTTCCAGTGGCCTTTAAGCAAAGCTACAGTCATGTAGAGTTCCTGTACGGATCAGAGCCATGCAAGGGGAGAAAAGAGGGTTTAACCCTTCTAACCCTGCATAGTTTTGCTGAGTGTGAATGAATATCTTATGTTTTTATAGCCATATAAAGAAAAAAAATTGGTCTTCCAGTGCGCCACATGCACCTACAGTGTAGAGCCTCCTCTACCAATGAGATCAGAACTTTGATTCCTCCTATTCCTGACACATAGTTCCGATCTCCCAAGACTTCCTGTCATGCTCAATAGGTTCTATGTTGCCATGTGGGCATTAAAGATAAGCCCGGGGTCTGGAAAGGCTGGAGACCAATGCAGAAAGAGATATACATGGAAAAAGATTCTACTCACCCTCCTTTGATGTAGTCCAAAAATGTGTGCTCGGATTCTGTGGCAAATGAGAGCAATGTCACCTCAAATATAAAGAAAGAGGGATAATGTTATACAATGAACTCAAAAAGTAGCTATTATTAGTCTGGGTCAGGGGTTTCTAACCTTTTGGAGCCTGTGGGCCCCTTTGGAATTCTGATACATGGTGGTGGCTGCAGCCACCAAATGGCCACTGTAGGAGGCAGAGCAAGCCACAAAATGTGAGAGCTGCTCCCAAAGCAACATTTTTAGAAATCTGCTAACCCCAGCAGGTCTCCAATGGCCATTCAGAAGTCCACATGAGCAAAAGCCCTATCTGGCCCTACCCGCCTTGAACCTCCCTGTCTTCTCCGGTCCATCTCAGAATTTACTGAAGGTCTCTATGAACTTCTCAGTATTTGCCCCTTTCCTGTGGAAGCAGCTGCCTGAATAGGTGCATGCCTTGTGGGACCTCTCTAGGTTCCACAGGGCATGCAAGGGTGCTCTTTTTTGGGCAGCCTTTGGGTGATTGTGATCTGCCAGGCAGCTGATAAATTATGCTTCAACTCACCATTCATGCATCCTATCCTGCTTGATAGTAGATAGGCTTTAACCAGGATAGATTTTTAATCCTTTTATATTTTAAAGTTTATTTATTGTATCTTTGGTACTGTTTTTATGTGGTGTATTTTATACTGTAGCCATAAAATTAAAAGACACCTGTTCTTTGGGAGGAAAGTGATGGCAAATTTAGACAGCATAATAAAAAGTAGAGACATCACCCTGCCAACAAAAGTCTGCATAGTCAAAATAATGGTATTCCCAGTAGTAATGTATGGCTGTGAGAGTTGGACCATAAGGAAGGCTGAGTGCCGAAGAACAGATTCTTTTGAATTATGGTGCTGGAGAAGACTCTTGAGAGTCCCTTGGACTGCAAGGAGATCAAATCAGTCAACCCTAAAGGAAATCAACCCTGGAAGGCCAGATGCTGAAGCTCAAATACTTTGGCTGCCAAATGAGAAGGAAGCACTCACTGGAGAAGACCCCGATGCTGAGAAAGATTGAAGGTCAAAGAAGAAGGGGACGGCAAGGGATGAGATGGTTAGACAGTGCTATCGAGGGCCTGGCATGATGTGGTCCATGGGGTCGCGAAGAGTCAGACTCGACTGTGCGACTGAACAACAACATCATTTTATACACCAGACTTGTCATCTCGAGAGGTATGCTGTCTACTGGGTGTACGCATCCAGGATGTGATGGAAAGAGTAGAAAACCTCATCAAGCCCACAGATTATTATCCCTTCTTGCTCATCCATGTGGGAACAAATGATACAGCCCAGCACAGCCCAGAACATATTAAAAGAGACTATGTGACTCTGGGTCAAAGGTGAAGGAATTGGGAGTGCAGGTTGTATTCTCATCAGTTCTTCCTGTCGAAGGCTGTGGCTTAAGAAGGGAAAGAAGAATACCGCAGATCAATGATTGGCTATGTAGATGGTGTCATCAGGAACGATTTGGATTTCTGGACAATGGCTTACACTTTCGAGATGAAGCTCTTCTATTGGGAAATGGTTTGCACCTCACAAGAGTAGGAAATAATGTGTTTGGAAACAGCCTTGCAAACCTAATAAGGAGAGCTTTAAACTAAATCCTGTGCGGGAGCGAGACAAAAATGCAAAGCCAATAACTGGAGATAAGAACTCTAGTTTTGCGGGGAGTGGCACATATGCTAGATAACATTAACTCACATGTAAGTACAGAAAAAAAAACCCACAAGGTGCGTGAAACATGGGTTCTGATGCCTCTACACTAATGTGCAGAGTATGGGAAACAAGCAGGAGAAACATGAAGTCCTAATACAAGAAGGGGACTATGACCTAATAGGCATTTCTGAAACTTGGTGGGATGATACTCACAATTGGAATATTAGGATTGAGGGGTATAACTGATTTAAAAGAGACAGACAAATAAGGAAGGGCAGAAGAGTTGCATTATATGTAAAGGAGGTATATACTTGTGAGGAAATATGTGAATCTGAGCATGAAAGTCCAGTTGAGAGTCTCTGGGTAAAAATAAAAAGTTCTCAAAGAGACGAGACATGGTGGTCATGGGAGATTTCAATTACCCAGATATCTGTTGAAAGTCCAACTCTGGTAAAAATGAAAGGTCCAATAAATTCCTGACTTGTCTTGCTGACAACTTCATTTTCCAGAAAGTGGAGAAGGAAAAAAGGGAATCTGCTATCTTGGACTTGATTCTTACCAACAGGGAAGAACTGGTTGATGATGTGAAAGTAGTGGGCAGCCTGGGTAATACTGACCATGTAATTTTGGAATTTACAGTCTTGGGGAACGTAAAAGCTGTACATAGTCAGACATATAGGTTGGAAAGCAAATTTTGACAAACAAAGTTATGTTGGGTAGAATCCCATGGTGAATCCCATGGGCAGAAATACTTAAGGACAAGGGCGTTCTAGAGGAATAGGAGTTTCTTAAAAGTGAAATACTGAAGGCACAATCACAAACAATTCCTATGAGAAGGAAAAATGGGAGGAGCCTAAAGAAGCCAAGGTGGCTCCATAAACACCTTTCTAAAGACTTGAGAAATAAAAAAGACCCATTCAGAAAGTGGAAGGAGGGTCTTATAACCGAGGATGAATATAAACAAATAGCCAGTGCTTGTAGAGGGAGAGTTAGGAAAGCTAAAGCTCAGTTTGAGCGTAGGCTAGCGAGAGACACTAAAAACAACAAAGAAGGGTTCTTTTCTTATGTTCAAAGTATGAAAAAGAGCAAGGACATGGTAGGCCCATTGTGGGGACAGGAAAGTGAAATTGTAACAGATGATGAAGAGAGGGCAGAACTGCTCAATTCCTACTTTTCCTCAGTCTTCTCTTGCAAGGGAAATAGTGCTCAGTACCTCAAAAACAAAACACATGATGAGGGAAGGGAGTTGCAGCCTAGGATTGACATGGGGTAGTACATAAAAACCTTGTTTCTTTAAGTGAAACTAAGTCCTCAGGGCCAGATGAGCTGCATCCAAGAGTACTAAAAGAACTCATGGATGTAATTTCTGAGCCTCTGTCCATTATTTTTGAGAATTCTTGGAGAACAGGTGAGGTGCCAGAAGAGTGGAGGCAGGCAAATGTTGTACCCATTTTCAAGAAGGGGAAAAAGGAGGATCCGGGTAACTACCCACCTGTCAGTTTGACGTCTATACCTTTTATTAATATTTATTAATATTTATGTTCCTTGAAATCTAAATTTTATATGCTATGGTTTTAATTTAACTTTTGTGTCTTAACATATCATGTTGTTTTAACATTTATCTATATTCTGTAAGCAACCCTGAGCCTGGCATGGTGGGGAGAGCGGGATACAAATAAAATAAAATAAATAATAAAATAAATAAATACCTGGGAAACTTTTAGAACAAATAATCAAGCAGACAGTCCTTGAGCATTTAGGAAGGATGGCTGTAATTACTAAGAGCCAGCATGGGTTTCACAAGAACAAGTCATGTCAGAATAACCTTATCTCTTTCTTTGCAAAAGTTACTACCTTGCTGAATCAGGGGAATGCTGTAGACATAGTTTATCTTGATTTCAGTAAGGCTTTTGATAAGGTTCCACATAATATTCTTGTTGACCAATTGGAAAAATGTGGTTTGGATCCTATGACTATTAGGTGAATCTGTAACTGGTGGACAGAGTGCACACAAAGAGTGCTTGTTAATGGTTCCTCATCTTCTTGGAGAGAAGTAACAAGTGGAGTGCCTCAAGGATCTGTCCTGGGACCTGTTTTGTTCAGCATCTTTATCAATGATTTGGATGAAGGGACAGAGGGTCCCTTTATACCCCTGCTTTCTGTTCCCTGCAAAAGCTGAAAAAACAGCTGAGCGGTAGGGAGCAAACTGCTCAGGCTGTCTTGTTCAGTCCCTTTAAAGGGACTCAAAAAACAACTGAGTGGTGGGGAGCAAACTGCTCCCTGCCACTCAGCTGTTTTGGGGCTTTCTGCAAACCCCATTTAAAGGGACTGCAGTCCCTTTCAAAAGGGTTTGCAGGGCTACAAACTATGAACCGGTTCGGTTTGTGAACAAAACTCTTCGTTCAATTTGGTTTGTGGTTTGGCCACGAACCAATCTGCATTTTCCTGGTTTGTGTCCATCTCTAAGTGGGATATAAATTTGATAAAATAAATAAATAAAACACTTGGCAGGTGCCAGGAAAGGTATTGGTGGGTGCCATGGCATCCACGGGCAGCACGCTGGGAAACCCTGGTCTGTGTAGTGATCTTGGTCATGACTTGCAGCAATGCTAGGCTTCAAAAATTCTCACTAGAATACTGTCGACCTATTTCCAAACTTCTGAAACTAACTTGCATCAACAGTGTTCTTGAGCAGTCTGTTTCTTAAATGATGTTCTTGGAGATGGAATATCTTTTGTTGATCACACCCCAGAGTGTCCTCCCAACCTTTTAAATCTGGTACTCAATGGAAGGAAGCGGCTTCTGTTGTTCACCCTCCAATTTATGCTCATGCCTTGCCTTCTCTGCCCACTTTAAAAAGCTGGTAGGTGAGGTAAGCAGGATGAAAGAATTGGGATTTTTTTTAGGGGAAAAGAAAGCCATGGCTGTATTATTGTAGACATAGTTGTAACCCAACAATTCAGGTTTTCCTTAGCTGAGGAAACTAGAAAACAAAGTCAACTTCTACCACAGTTTTCATCAATACAAGCCATTCCTTACAGCTCTCAGAACGTCCTCATAATCATAGGAAGATACAATGATCACAGAATAAAATGCTTATCCCTTGCAATGGTGAATCCTCTGCATATTAGGCTTTACCCACACCATCTGCTACCATTTAAACTACATTATCCTACTAACAGCGTGATAAAAGCTGACAGCAAGTGTGAACAAGGTAGCAAAACTTGCCATATTTCTCAAGCAAGTGAGCCAACAATGTGCTACAGAGCAAGGCAAAATCCTGCTACTATTACTACGTATCCTATTATTAGACATTCTGATTATGGGGCTGAGTTTCTTCTCAGCCTTAAAGATGACAAACT